CTGGCGTTTTTCTGATGCAGGCCCAAGTAAAAATGCCATAGGGCCTTCAGGTTGCGGTGACGCGACCTGGGGGCCCTATTCCAACCTCGGGTCCCGTGAGGGGCCCGTGTGTAGGCTTCCAGCATGTAACACGCCCCCCTCCTTATGAAGACGAGTCGGGGTGCGGGCGAAGCTGCTGATCCGATGGTGGAATGTAGTGAGGATGGCGAGGAGCTGGAGTGCTCTGCGTAGTCTTCCCTTTGCTAAGATAGCGTGAGAGAATGGCGGGGGTTGTGGCCTGCAATTCTGAACGCGTCAGCCAACGGTCAGCCTTGTGGCTGCAGTAGGAAAACTGAAGTCGAAACTCTGTTTCTTTATTGCCATGGCGCCGGTCGGTGATGATGTAGCCGGCCTCCTGAAATCCGTCCATGGAAGGAGGGTCTTGCGTACGTCGACCGGGAAACTCGTCGAACTCCACTGAAACAAAAGGAGCGAGTTTGGAACAGTGGAACACCGTGTGGACGGGCAAGTGAGGTGGCACCGCGATGCGGAATGAGGGCCCCTCGGGATCGTCACCAACTGCAGAGAGAATGCGCCAAGGCCCCATCCACTTGGGAAGGAGCTTGCGAGAGATGTCTTGCTCAAGGCTGAACTCTGCTGCGGAGACCCAAACCAGATCGCCGGCGCGGAACAGGCAAGGAAGGCGATTGCGGTTGGCTTGACGACTCATCCGTATTTGCGTCTTCGACATCCGATCCCGTGCCTTGACAAGAAGCTCTTGCATGCGACAAAGGAACGCAAGATGGTCATCGCTCTCGGCTGTGCGCGGCAAAGTAGCGTCCAGCGGTGAGATGGGTGAACCATGCTCAAACTCAAACGGCGACATCCCGATAGCCGGGTGGATCGATGAGTTGTAAGCCAACTCAACGTCTGGCAAGCGTTCAACCCAATCAACCTGGTCGGGACGGATGAGAGTGTGGAGAAGGACTTGAGCGGTCTGATGCGCCCTTTCCGTTTGACCATCGGTTTGCGGGTGGCGAGCCGAACTCGGCTTCAAGGATGAGCCCCATCGCTTGATGAGGGCGAACCAAAAGTCGGAGAGAAAGCGAGTGTCCCGGTCGCAAACGATCTCCTTGGGGTAGCCCTTGGAGCGAACCCAACCGGTGTATAAGACCTCAGGTAACTCCGGTGCCTTTGCGTGATAGCGGCAAGGCAAAAACATGGCGTACTTGGTGAGGCGGTCGACGATCGTGAGGATCCCATCAACGCCGGTCTTGTGCTTCTGGAAGGGGCCGGTGATATCCATAGCAATTGCTTCCCGTCGCCCAAGGGGCACTGGTAATGGGTGTAGCTCACCGAACGGACGATGGTTGCGTGCCTTGCAACGCCGACAGACTTCGCACGACTCACAATAGCGGGTGGCGTCCTTGAGAAGGTCGGGCCAATAGAACCGTTGGCGAAGTCGGCCAAGTGTACGGTTGACACCAAAATGTCCGGAGGCGGGCGCATCGTGAAACTCGCCAAGAAGCCGTGTGCGCAAGTGTGAATCATTTGGCACATAAAAAAGATCCTTACCCCATGAATGCACAAGTAAGTAGCCCTCTTGGATCCGATAATGCGAAGGCACTGGATTCGGAGAGGAGCAATTCGCGTACTTGTCGCAAAAGTGGGGGTCGGCTTGATAGCCGCGGATGAAGCTCTCCCGCAAGTCGTCGTCGATCTCGAAGGTAGAGTAGACTGCGGTGCAAAGATCCGGTCGTCGTGAGAGGGCGTCCGCAAAACGGTTTGACTTCCCAGGAATGTGATCGGGGAAAAAGTCAAACTGGTCGATGAAAGCCATCCAACGGGCAACGGTATTGTTAATCGTGTTTTGCGACTTGTAGAATACCAACGGATTGTTATGCGTTACCCATCGGAATTCTTTAAATAAGGAGGAAATGTCGCCAACGCTTGAGGGCGTGGACGAAGGCAAGAAGTTCCTTCTTCCGTGCGTCGTCGATCGAATGCACGGGAGGTACTTTCTTGCTRAAGTACTCGACCGGGTGCCAGTCCGTGCCATCGTGCTGCTCAAGGACGGCCCCAATGCCATAGCCCGACGCATCGGTAGTGACGCGCGTAGCTAGAAGCGGGTCGTAAATATGTAACACCTCGGCGGACAAGAGTGCCGCTTTGAGTGTCTCAAAAGAATG